TTGTGAACAACTTTTATTGGAGAATTTTTGTGTATGATAAAGGAACGTGGACATATGTGTATTAGTTAAATATAAAGACATATAATTTTTGTTATTTTATTTTGTATATTTATAAGATATATCATTTTTAATTTGTGACGTTACATATCAAGAGGTCCCAAACTTTTGACCGACAGTATTTAATTTCTTCTTTATATAATTGTGTTAAATACTTTATATAATATTTTCTAATGATATGAAAATAATTAGAAAAAGATGTTTTTATGTTGAACGAAAACAGAGTGCTTTGAAAATTTTATTGCCTAAAATTGATTGTTCTTTCAATCCTCTGACGATCTGCAAACGTATAGCTAAAAGACTGTATACAAATAACACAGGACTTATAAATAAAACTTGAATATGCTGTTTACAATAAAACAGTTTCTAATCAAAACATTTTTTAATGAAAACATTCGAGAGAAATGAAATTAACCCTTTACCCTATGATTTCTTTCTCTACAACTACTTTGCCATTGATACTTTACTGAAAAAAAGAAAAATTCTTGGCATATTGTATGTCTTTGTTTGTTCTAAAGTATAATAATTGATAGCAGAAACATAATATTTAACTTGAATTTAAATAAATCGAGTAACATTTACGCTTGTTGAATTCTGTTTGAAATCTTTGCCACGAGTCTGATACGATATTATAATTGAACGAGTTAATAATAAAACTAATTTATTACATTTGTAAAAAGTGTATGCTGTTTGAGAAATCATCTGTGAAATTATTATTTAGTTATTTATATTTCTATAATACTTTCTACTATTTGTTTACTTCGTTTATGAACAAAAAATACAATTTTTAATTGAACGTTAACTGATTATATTTTATATATTTACCATGATGAGAAGAGGTGCTGCGATTAGCCAACAGAACCGGAAATATGAAGACGGCATGCGTCCAGTCATTTCCTTCACGTTGTTGCAAAGCCGACGTACACCATAAAACCACGATATCGCGATCACTTCGAAGAACGCTAGAAACATAATCGATATCGAGGCCGCGTAGTGATCTATTAATTGGAAGAAATAAATACCGCCCTAGAAATAAGAAAATATTTCTCAATTAAAATTACATGTGAATCGTATTTATTATTTATGTTTTCCTTTAATGTTTCTCACCTGTGTAATATTAGGCAGACCAAACAAAAATGATATTACACACACTAAAAGTACTAACATCTCGTGACAGACGAGGTGACGCTTCACCCATTTCGGGAAGCCATCTTGTATCGATGTTACAACCACCTCCACTATTGCGAACTAAAAAGAAACAAGATAGTTACTTCTTGGAAAATATTTAGATACAAATATTCAAACAGACAAACAAATTTTTATTAGGTTGCTTAAAAATTAATTCTGGAATTTTCAATGTTTTATTTATAAGGTTGAATTTTGTTTACATCATATAACAAAGACGACTCGATGAAATTCTCGAATATGTATTATTCATTCCTGAATTTTGAAACACTGCTGTACATATTTGAAAATGTAATATAAAAATTGAAATTCAAATGTCAAAATTGTTTATAAACGGATTATTATTAAATCAAAGATGACTAGATATTTCTAAAACAAAATTTACAGTCTACACAACGACAGTCCAATGCTTTTGTTTATTCACAAATAAATTGTTTTTATTTCCATTCCAAGTCAACTTATTTATATATACAATCTCTGAGGTCTCACCTACCTGACTATTCAATGAAAGGCAGACTAGCATAAAGAAAAATAAGACGGCCCATAGTTTCGACGCTGGCATCTTGGCTAGCGCTTGCGGGTAAACGACGAATACCAGACCAGGTCCTTGAACGGAAATTATGATTTGTCTATAAAATTGCAGGAGAAGTTAATCTGACATTGATTGACACCACTCGAAAGTGAAATTGTAAAGTATTTGTCATTATTAGATTGTGGAATTTTATGCAAATAAAAATTTTTAAGAATAAGAATCAAAAAATAGAATTATGGTAAAAAATGGTTCTTCATAACAAATGTTATAAAAATTACTACTTTAAAGATTTTATATAATAAATAATAATAGATAGTAATAAGAAACAATCAATAATAGTAAATAATAATAAATATTTAATACAATAAATTTTCCATGAATGCATATAAATCCTCAATCTAATCAAATTTTTGTTGCTAAACCACTTTATTAAAATGGTGTATTGTATTCGCCTCTGAACTAAATTCATAAAAAAATGCTACTTGTGAATGTGAAGGCTGCAAATGCTACGTACCATCTGTTAAAACAGCTTCGACGGACATGTTTTGCTCGAGGGCGATATTACCAATGGTGGCGAATGAAAATATTCCGACGAGCAGGCTGCTGAATGCATTTATAAGCGAGACAGCGACACTGTCCACCAAGATCGTGTTGTGAAACTTGTTGTAACTGGCGAAACATATCATCGAGCCGAATGCTATCCCGACGGAATTGAAGATTTGGGCAGCTGCGTTGATCCACACCTGATCGTTGCACATAATGTATAAAAAAATTTTGTACTTGTTATTAAAAAATTCTTAAAACTTTTTTCAATTTTTTATACAGCTAGTGAATCACACAAAGAAGGTCTAAGACGTATTCAAAAGAATTGCGACTATAAACGCCTTCCCCGAGAAAAGAAAAATATTTTTATAAGGTGTGTCTAGAGACGCTCTCTCCATTAAAAGGGTTAACACTAAAACCACCGAGCATTTATTGGGGTTGATATATAATCCATTCAAAGATTGGGTAATACCATAGCAGATCCCGCAGTAATCAATTTTAAATAAAACCATTAAATATTGCAAGGAATGCACATTTTGAACAACTTTTTCCTTCGAAAAAGATGTCGTTGACATTTAGTTTCTGAGATAATCGCGAAAAACTTTTGCTACCACTACATTCTATATACGTGAGCGCGTCTGTGAGACAACACAGGCAAAACCACACGGTTTCGCACCGGCCGTTACATTCTCGGATTTCACATGGGTATGCTTCGTTACAAAAGTTTTGTCTCGATGGTGGCAGTTTCATATCTTTCCTCGTACATGTATTGCAGAAATGAGTTTCTATGAAAGGATGACACATTTACTGTATAATTTCCCAAAATTCATTTCAATATTAATGTAACTTTTGCCGGGAAGAGTACATGTAACTTGAAAAGATCAAGGGCTAATTGATGCAAGCCGCAGCAGCCGTGACGGCCGCGCGGTTATGCCTGGGTTGTCTCACGGAAACTAAATGTCAGCGATATTTTTTTAAAGGAACAAATTGTTCAAAATGTGCAATTCTTGCAATATTTGATAGTTTTATTAAAATCAGTTGCTGTGGGGAGCTGTTAAGGTTTTACCCCAAAATCTTATCGAATATTGAATACTTTTAACATATCAACATTTGTAAAATAAGAAAACTGAAACCCGTCAGTTTAATAGGTATGGTAGTTTGAGTGTCAACACGTTTGCGGCCGCTAATGTGAACTCGCGTCTCTTCAAATATTTCTTTCCAAAATGTTATTCTTCTGCTATTTTCCATTTGCAACTTCTTTAACGGTAAGTTCTTCATTTTAGACAACGTGTCGTTACGAAACTAATATTTCTAAACAAATTTTTCTAATTTTCCTGCCTGTTTTAACTTTTCATTTGCAGCGGCAATGAGAATTAGGAAAGCGAAAAACTTGCCGGTTGCGAATGTGTTAAATAGCTGAAAAAGCAATCGTCGTGGCACCTTTGCGTCGCCGAGTAGCTCCCATCGCGGATGAAAGAAGAATTGTAGACCCTTGTCAGCACCTTCGAGGGTGAGGGATCGCGTGAGGAAGACGACGATTAAAACGAATGGTAACGTCGCTGTGATGTATCTGACTTGTGCTGACGATTTTATGGATTTCCAAACGGAGAAGTACACCAGTATCCAGGCAGTAATTAGACACGCTACGAGCTCCCATCTCAGTACTCCAGATTCTTCGATTCCCTTGCTGATCTGGAGTACCTTGTTGCTGAATTATTAGAAAAATAGGTCCAATTACTCACGAAGAAATGTTATGACAGTCTTTTAACCCCTTGCACTAAAAATTATTATAAGAATGTAATAAAAGTATGATCGATACAGTTACTTTATCGTTAATAATTTATTAGGACACGAAAAAATGTGAATATTTATTTTATGTCTACGTTTATTTCAAAGGTTAACAACTGATGACAGAAATGTAATATTTAATTTATATTTAAAAAACATAAATAACTCTTAAATTCCTCAATTCAGTTTAAAATTTTCGCCAAGTATGATATGATTGTAGGTCAAAGGGTTAACTGGACTGTGGATTTTTATACAAATTGAAATTTTTTAAATATAATTAGGAAAATAAAATAGTGATAGAAAATAATTTTTCCTAGAAAATATTTCGGATAGCATTACATTTTGGACATTTTATATATTTTTCTGTAGTGTGTGCATACTGTGCAATTTTGAAATTTCATGATTCCTATTAATGTATAAAAATTTGTAATCTACTTGTAAAATGACACAATTATATACATCTATTTTATTGAATTCAAAGTGCATCAACAAGTTCTGTATAGAATTACACTTACGCTTATCTAAATGGATAAATATTTTGAAAATTTGTTTCAATAAATTAAAACTAAAACAGAACTGTGTTGCCTTGTGTTGAAACTTCTATTTCGTAATGTTTTGGAAATTTTTAAATACTATAAATAAATAAAGTTACGTAATCTACTCATGAGTTAGTCTTCTAATTGTTGACTTGAAAATGACTTATGTACTTTCGAATAACCCTCGTCTCTAATTGGAAAGACAAACTCATAGGAGTCCACTGTGAAATGGAAACGTAATATAATACGACGCAAGGCCATTTTCAAGTACGACAGCTTCTAATTCACATACAAAACTATTAGAATTAAATACAATAAATGCGAAATAGTCGAGAAATTAAATTAGAATATATTTTAATTACTATAAAAATTGTATAGATTGGCTATAAAATTATATAGTAAATGTAATTATAATGAAATACTGTTACTACAGTTATTGTAAAATTGCAATTCGATTTGCAATTAAAGAAATATTCTTCTTGAAAAATGAATACGTAATTGATAATTAATGCTTCAATAATTGATGGAAGAATTACTCGAAAAATTCCTCGGATGGTGTTCTTGAAGCATTCGGTCGAGTGCGATTATCGATGACACTATAAGTTGGTAACCAGCAAGCCAAAGTATTCCACGAGTTGTCACAGTCGGACCACGGTTGTTTTTCTCTGAACGCCGCAAAGAAATAGTATATAGCGTAAGCTATTATCACATTATGGTAGGTCGACATCAAAAATGATATTACTACCGACGACAAGCCAGCCCCTGTTCAAATAAATAAAATTATTTCGTTTGTATATTTTAAAGTAGACAACAGATTTTGCAACATTTTTTCTAATATAATTTTAACAATTTATCAACTTTTATACATTTTTAATAACTTTATTATTTTATCAATTATTATACCGATAGTTCACGTTTAACGGACATTTTTCCTATTAATCACGAACGACTATAATCTCATCGGTACATAGATTAATCTACGATAAGTTGCTGGTTTGAGATCTCCCAAAGTAGGAAAATATTTATATTACATGGAACAAACAATTGATTTAGTAGAAGAATTATCTATTTGAATAAATGTATTAAAAGTCAAATAATTTATCATAGTGATAATAGTGATAATAATGGTTAAATATCATTATCTATATTATGAGAATTAACATGTACTTCCTTCCAGAAAGTTCTACAAAAAAGAATCATAATTCTATGGCTAATAAATGAATAATGTAATGTAGAGGTATAAGAATTTTTCTGTACCTTTAAATAACGGACAAATTTGACCGAGAGCACCAATCGGTCCTCGTCGAGTGAATTGTCCGATACTGAGTTCCATGTACAACAATGGTACTCCGCAGACTATAAGTATTAGAAAGTAAGGTATCAAGAACACACCTGGAACATTAAAACAAAGAATTTAGTCCTTAACGTGCATTGGTCACAGGTGTCCACTAAAAAGATATTGTCCTTTTACTGTCATACTTGATAGAAATAGGACAAGAAAATGATAAATAATGGCAAAATCTTTTTTAACACTAGAGCTACCGTACCCGTCAAAATGACGGGTATTCGTTTTCTTATATTGCAATTATTAACATTTTGAAAGTATTCCATATCCGAAATAATTTGGAAAATAAATAGTTTCACATAAATACTGTGACGAAAATCTGAAGAGATTTTAAATAAATGTATTGTTACAATCTTTATAAGGACACATCAATCAGTTCTAGTGTTAAATAAAAGTAACAAATTAATAAATCAAAATCTGTGCAGAAGAATGGTGGAGCAACAAGTAACAACATCTTTTATTGTACCAAATTGGAAATAAAGTTAAACTTTGATAGAAAAATCTGTATGATTCTAAATACCGAAACATTATTTTTGTAATATAAGTCTTGTGTTTCTTATAATTGTCAGATTATTTTCAAATTCTCGAGATATAATAAAGCTGCATCAATTTACTACAATAACTTTATTGTGGATATCTGGGTAAACAGTACGTGTAACGTCTATCCATTGTTGTTTATATTATTCTGCCAACCAGCTAGTCTCTCAGAAAACATTCCCTTCAATCCATACACGGTATGTTCTAATCTACTTGTTCAGCGAATAAAAACGAATGCGAATGTTACTAAATCTGCCTGTAATATGGATTTATTAAAGGTTGCATTAAACACGAGTCGTACGTAATAGTGCTCAACGTTAATCGTCATTCTGTGGGCAGTAACAAGGTCACTGGATGTAACTCTTTATTCGTAATAAACGATGATCACAGTCTCGTGGATTACCACTTAATTTGGGAACGAGTATTTAGTTCGACGAAATTCTTGAAATGTATTCTTACTTTCTGCAACATTATAAACTCATTATTCAAGTAAGTAAAGTAAACACTTCATTATTTATACTTTTTCAGAACCTTTCTATAATATCGTATCTTATGCCATTCGATATTTCAACTCGATAATCAAATAACATTGGATTTCGTTTTTTCTCACTTAATCAAATCGATATTTTTCTGTTATTGTTAAACGATATTTCCAGACTTTAAACACGATAGCATGATTGTTAAAAAAATTACCGTTCCTTATAATTAAATATATAATAATCCACATTTCAGAACAAATGACAATGCTTTTTTAGTTTTTACATTTTTATTTGTTCTTCAAATACTTAAATTATTTAGTAAGTGATACTTTATTAAAATTCTCTATCTTTTAATAACATATTTTATTAATGCAATTCCATATCTCCATTACATTTTAAATACAGTATGCAGTGGATAATAATGCGACAAAAGTAAATTTACAGTTGTCATTCTTTTTGTTTGGTTATTTCGATTCTGTTAAAATCCGTTGATTGTATCTGTTAAATTATTAGCGTAAGTGTAATTTAGCGTGATCATAGCGCGAGAGAATTGCATTCCCTTCCTGCTTGATAAATGTATTATTTTAGTATCTATTATACATACACCGCTCCATTTCTATCTGTCATGTACCTAAAATGGTACACGGTAAACTTAGAACGAGTTCGATGCTGAAATTCAATCACATCTCCCAGATACGGCACCGATTGTTGTTTCCGGTTGTGACGCTGAAATAATTCGTGCCGCGTCGGTGCGCCTCACGCATATGTAAATTAATTCTACGAATGTCCAATTGTACTAGTCGAACAAATTAAACGGCATTCACTGATTTGACTTCGTGATGCACAATGTAACTTGATTATTGAAACGATCATTTCAAACATATGTAATATTATGTTAATGATATCTTCTGCTTTGCTCATGTCGAACTTGTTCGCTGTCTCTTTCTCAGTAATGTAAGTAAATAACAATCAGTGCTAGAAATGCAATTACGGTCACGATTCCACGCAAAACTACGCAATAGGAGTACGCCAGGAATTTGTTTTAACAAGGAATACAACATTTTTGTTGTATGAATGTATATGAATTAATCAGTAGCGAAACACATGTACAATTTGATGACATTAGATATATTATAATCATAATATACGTTATTACTATATATTATAAATATTTTATTTATACATTATATAATGTTATATTTTAGTAATGTAATTTATAATATTATTTTGAGTGATCAATAATAGGAAATATAAAAATGTATTTAAAATGATTGTTTTATAACATTTTATTTACTCAATTTCAAATTCATTTCAAACTTAAACCTCTTCCGCTATTTTAGGGTTTCTTATTTTTATTTCAAAGATGGAACAAAATCATAAAAAATAATGATAAACGTTTCTAGAATTAAATAAGGTACGAATTTGATTTTTTGGAAATTACTGCAGTAATTTCCAAACCTAATTCTAGATAAAAACGTGAAATTTTTTATTTTGAATCAACAGTGTTTCATAGATATTTATAAATGTTTTAAAATTCCATTAGTGTACAGAGGTTTTGAATGACCCAGTTTTGAGTTAGAAATAAAGTGAACATATGAAAATTCAACGAACAACATTAATGCACAGTTTCGAGTTGAAGAGCTGACGCTGATTCCCGTAGAAATTTCATTCCTTCTATTCAGCGTGGATTTTCCCACGAAAATGTAAATTAACACTGGTCGTATAACATCAGTGGTTACATGCTTCATGCAAATGAAACTTTAAATCCGACTCACATTTCACAACTTCCGATTGACGAACAGTGTAATAAATTAATAGTTGCACGAAGTAATATTCATCCTGTATACAGGTTATTACTATGAACATTTGTTCATTTGACGTAAATTTTGAACGACATTTGAAAATAACTGTGTATAGATAAATTGGTTGAAAGATTATTTCCATTAATTTTTAGAGATGCTATATTCATTTATAGATTCAGTTTCAAAATTTTTTTAGTTCAATCAGCCATGTTTAACTGTTCCACATTTAATTTAAAATTAAAAGTATTTCTTTGCAATTCATCCAATTATTTATTTCAATTTATTTACGAATGGTCCAAATCGAAATTTACAGCATAAGTAGGATTTTATAAAATTTTCATACAAATCTTTTATGTAATAATATAGATACCTGAAAATAAAAAATAGTTTCATTGAAAACACTAATGTGCGAAATAAAAAATAGTTCCTTCGAAATAATACAGACGTTTGAAAGTCAAAAATAGTTTCTTTGAAATAACAAAGATATACAAAAATAAAGAAATAATGCAATTTCTTTGAAATATCACGAACATTTCAAAATGGAAACTGGTTTCTTTGAAATAACATATATGTGTGAAATTAAAAGTTCTTCCTTCCAAACAATACAAACGTTTGAAAATGGAAAACAGTTTCATTCACGTAACATAGACATATGAAATAAAAAACAATTTCCGAAGTGGGAAATACTTTTTCTCGAGTAACACAGTTATCAAATACGAAACTCATCGATACACGCATTGCCCCGCGAATATCTGTATCAAACGATAAATTCCTTTCACCTCGGAACACAATTGCCGTAACTAAGTGTTTTTAACCGATACTCGAATAGTATATACGCTCGCAGTGTATGGGACGATTATCTGTCATTTGTTGCTACTTTGTTATTCAAAAGAGTGCGTTGGTCCATCATGGGTGTAATCGGATCGTGCCGGCCGCTCTGAGTTTCCGGTTGTCCAATTTAACGAACAGTTGGTCAAAATGATACCGGGCCGATTATTTCCACCGGTGTCATTGAAATCATTTACTCATGCTCGCTGGTGTAGTGGCTACGTTCCGGCAAGGTCATGTATCAAGTTCCGCGAGCAGATTGCGCCACGTCCGGACTCATCGCCGAGATGCTTTCAGACTTTGAAAATTAGCGGCAACACGATACGCACTTGTATTACGGGCCGGCGAATCGGGAGAACGTCTGAGAATGTCCTTGCGCTGAATATATTTTCGAGGATATCGTACAAAGGGGATGTCGGAGCTGAAAGGTCGCGGAGACACGCGAAACGCGATACACGGTCGCCACTTGAAAGCGTCTGCCACTACATTTGATTAGAATTTATTTGACGTGTGGGCTGCCTCGAGAATTTTTAGCATTTGTATGTTACCCCATTACATCCCACAATTTTTCTTACTATAAGTATTCACTTTCTGGTGAAATACGTATAACGTATTTTACAACTTACACGAAGAAGAATCGTATGTGAATTAAACAGCAGAATTATTTTACTTCAATGTTTCATATGTTAATGTATTATACGAAACTTTATAATTTTTGCGTCGAACCAAATGGCAACTGAAAGAGTTAACCTTTTGTACTCGAGAATATGTTTCTCAATACAGATCCATTATTTTCTGATGAAATAGCAATGATATTTTTAGCGACTAAATTAGAAATATCATTCTTAAATTAAGGGATAGAATTATTTTATTTCGATGTTCCATGCGCTGATACATTGTACGAAATTTGATATTGAATTTTAAATTTTATAATTTTGCTGGGTTGAATTAAATGGCAACTGAAAGGCGCCTCTCGAGTGCAAAGGATTGTTTCGTAATAATGATAAATGGTACTGGAAATAATTATTACTGACTTGGTATCATAGTACTAATGTTACACTATTATCTAGTTAATCATGTTATTGAATACTTTTATTCCATATTAATCTTTTTATTGTAATTGTCTTCTAAGCAATTTGGAAGCTTCGGTTATTGTTAATCACCACGGTAGTCAACGTGTTAACGCTGCTTAACCCTTTGTGATACGTAACTATCTCTTTGAAAATGTTTAAAAATGTTTGAAATATTTCAACACCTTTATTTCTTAAATATAATCGATACTCTTACTTTGTTATTAATTATGTATTGAACGAAGAAAGACATTCTAGGCATATTATATGTGTATGTTTTCTTTAAAGTATAATAATTGGTAACAGAAGACTAATATTTAATTTGAATTCATAAAAATTGAGTATATATTTATGGTTCTTAAATTCTGTTTAAAATCTTTACTGTGAATCATTATTAGTCATTTTTTTATTTTTATTCATTAGCATTCAATGAGATTTATATCAGTAGATTTGGATGATATACCAAATTGTTTCATTATTAAATTATGCAACAACCATTTCATGATACCATTTATCGCTAGATATAGATTATTTTTATTGATTAAAATTCTCTTTAAAAATAACAAGGAAATCCTTTAAGCCATCGCATCGTTAATAAATTGTAAACAGTTCACTTCTGATATGCTTACACGGCTCCAAATTGTGACACTGTCCTACGCATAAAAATTAAATGAAAACTTCGATCATACTCTGTTTGTGTATATGTATATAGATTCAAAAACTATAGTTCTCCTATTTAAATGAAAACTATTATATTTACATTCGCCTTTGAATATTACGTGCATTCTGCAAATTGTTATTATTGGAAAAAATTTGTCTTGACAGAGCAACTATTGTAACAAGCTTTTTTCATTACATTGCAGACCGTTTGACGTACTGTTTTATATCACAAGAGTAATTTTTCTAAGCGACTGAGCTTCCTTCCTCTACTTCGTAATTAAATCGCGAATTGCAAGTGGTATTTCTACGTCGAAGAAATATTTTGGGAGATGACTGTTTGATACAAAAGTGTGTACGAATCGGTGTATATCCGTTCGGGAAACGATTTTCTGATTATGTTACATTCATGCGTATTTTACATATCTTGCGGTTTCTTTAACACGTTAAGCGCCACGAGAATCTTGAACGTTTTATACATGATTTGTTTCTTCGTAGCAAAGATAAATAGGAACAATTATTAACTATTTGGCATTAGAATTTCTTACATTACACTATTGTTAACTTATTTATGTTATTAAATATTTTTAACCGACAGCAGTCATCTTGTATATTGTAAATTCTTTCAAGCAATTCAGAAACGTCGATCATCGGTGACCGACATGGCATTTAATGTGTTAATTTGCATTTTGTGTATTCAATAAATGTATTAATTATTAAAAACCCAACACTTTTCTATTTGTTCAAATGGCAGAGTAAATTGTGGTTGCTTTTGAATTATTTTGCCAAGCTTTTTCTTAAATATTTTTTAGTTACATGGTAATGTGTGAGCTCCTACATAATTATTAGGCTATATATTTTACACTTTATGCTTACACGGACCTTCAAAAAATGAAATAGAGTTTAATTCTTGTTTATAGAGGTTTTAATTTACGAAGACTAATGTTATAAAAAATACAATTCTATTGTACCTCAATTTCACAACCCTTGCCCGCAATAAATTTAATTTGCACAAAAATTGATAGGAAACACATATTAGGTTAAGAGATATGAACAAAAAGTGCCCTCTATTTGAATATAACACGAATATTGTTAACTTTCAGCCCATAAAAAATTGATGGTTTGATAATGCTGTTTTACGTAACAGAATATTGATGTTATTATTTATTCATTGGTCCTTGATTGAAATATTATTTTACAATCTAATGTCATAAAAATAAATACTGAACTCGAAGCTTTGTAATCATACATACATACTAAGAATATTGAAAAACAAGATTAGAAATAAGAATGCTATGGTTAGTCATTCACGATAAATGAACATTTAAAATATGAACTATGGACCTCACGAACATTAATCAAGTAGTTATTTCGAAGAATCGTTATAAAAAACTTTCAATATCAATAAATACAATTAATAATATGACATCCTGATTATTTTTATGTTCACTAATGATCTTAATTTTCATATTTGTAGTTAAAATACGTAACTGTAATTACTGTTCCTATAATTCGAAGGAAATCTACATTCCACGAAGTGATTAACGTGTTTAAACTGTGCAGCTCTCGAGGAACAAAGGTTTTACTGCAAAAATGATTTCTTTGAATATCCAGCATAGCTTCCCACCGATTATATGCAATAATGTAATCTTTACGGCACGGTGGAATTTTATCAATGAATATACGATTCTTTTGAAAAAAGTCATATATCCTGGCCAGAACATTCTTTCCCATTAACGATCGGTTACAATACAAACAACAAATGTGTCCTCTTATCGCAGATACACTAATCGCAGCAAACATAAGTGTGCCAGAATCATATCTGGCACGTACAAATTTGTTTTGTACGACCATCTGTTCGGCATGTCGTAACAAAGCCGTTCGTGTGGTGAATACAGTAACCTATCTTCTGTACTATGACACGAGAAATTGCCAGTGAATTGTTAGATATATCTGTTTTGTTACTATCGATTAGACTCCGGATTATGATAACACTGTGATCTTCACATTGAAACACTTTGAAATGATCTGGCATATAAAGATTATCTCTATGTAGATATCACGTATTAGATTACTTGCATACCCAGTTCACTATTCTTTATTATATATAAAAAAATTAATTCTGTTGATGTGCTGATAGTAAAGATTCTATAGAATTCATAAAATTCAATACTATTCCTCTTCTATGGCTCGTTAGAAATTAATAGTCTTCTATTTAAATGTATCTTTGTAATTTTGTTTTGCATTTTCTATAGTTTTTATAGTTTATTTAACACTAGATTTTCGGAACAAGTCAATTTGACTTTTATTGAATTTTATAAACATTATTTGGTAAATATTTGAGTTGATTTTATTTGGCCCAGTTACGCGAATATGTATCCCAATTGTCTACTTTTAAACCTCTAATTTCCAAAATTTAAGTGAACGAATATCTATTTTTCTAAAAGCTATAGAATAAACTGTACAATAAATGTCCGTAAATTTAGTGTTAAATATTGAGACAGATAATGAAAATACCAGATAGTTAAAAGGTAATTAAAATTTCGACTATAGAATTAACATGTTGAATACCATACGATTTCACGTAGCAAAATACACAAAATCAAAACAATATAATATCAAATTATTTCATGGAATCGTTTTATTATTATTGCACGTTTATCTTGTCGAATGTCACCGCATTACGTAGCATTATTTATAATATTAATTATAATCTGAATTATGGTAATTCGATTTGGCCGGGGGTCACCAGTAACACCTATGGCATTCAACGTGTTAATTATGTTCATAGAATAAATAATTTCATCATTCAAATATTCATTTTTGCTAAAAAAGAAGCATGTTTTATTTGGTTACAAATCCATATGAACATTGAATTTAATTTATTTTTTTAATTATTTTTGTACTGTATTCAGGAATAGACAAGAATAATATAAGTTTTATTACGCATCTCTATAAAACTGTCTATTTGAATAAACACCCGCAGGTCAGTAATAACTGCAATTAGCTCGCGTATTAAATGAAACTCTTGAAATTCAATCGAAATGGATTTATACGTTAGTGTTTGAGGATGAAAATGGGAAATCCATGTTCATACTGCCAATTGTTACCATTTTAGCGACACTTAACAACAGAACTAACGAGCGTTTAATGCGATTGATGTGTAATCCCTATAAAAATTATAACAATAGATTACTTTTGGCTTCTCTAGATATTCATTACCGCATTTAAGTGAAATTATTTATTTTCAAAATTATGCGAAACAAAAATACCAAAACCAGTCATTTTGAAATCAGTTCTAGTCGTAACATTAGATTTACGGACATTTACTAGACAGTTTGTTCTATTGCTGTTAGAGAAATTAATATTCGTTCATTAAGATTTTGGAAATTAATTGTTTAAAAGTAGATAATTGGGATACATATTTGTGTGTCTACGTCAATCAAAGTGGACCCAAGCATTATCAAATAATGTTTACAAAATTCAATATGAATCAAATTGACTCGTTTTGTAAATCTGGTGATAAGTAGGGTAAGTCGAGGAGAGATAGCTCATATTTTTTAAAAGCAACTGCTACATCATAAATATTTTTGATACCTACCGAAAAATCAAAAATATCAACGACAACAAATATACGTATAGAAGAATAATAGTTAAATAGGTTTTGTACACGATTCAATATAATACCATTCAAGAAAATTTAAAATATTTGACAATCTTGATGAAATCAGGTTACCTCACTTGGTACTGTATAATAATGAGTAGACTGCGGGTTTTTATGCATTTACGAGGAAAGTGTAAAAGTACACAGGCTGGATTACGAGAAAATATATAAAACAACCAAAATGCAGTACTTTTTATATTTGTTAGGAAAACTGTTTTCCATTGTAATTATAATTTTCCACTAACGTTTCGAAAGTCTAAATTTGCATAAAAATCCGCTGTCTAATAATAAGTATAAAAATCTATTTGGCTACTTACCACCGCCACTTTTGTAGCATAGGTAAGGAAACCTCCAAACATTACCGAGACCAACAGAGTAACCGATACAAGCAAGGACAAATTGCACTTTGTTGGCCCAGTGCGGTCGTCTCGGTTGTCTGTAGTCCCCTGGGTCTTCGGCATCTGCATCGTCAAAGCTGGTACACACAGACAGATCATCCTCAAATGATCTGGAATCAGATCGATTTGGGTCATTAATGTGATCGTTGTTTAGACACGTGTACGCATAACGCACAACATTATCGCGACACCGTGTGATTAATTCCCAAGTGCTACAGTTTGTATATCAGAACGCCAAAAATTTTGATTTATTGTATTTTCAGTCGTGCTTGACTTGCAACGTTGAAACATTATGTTCCTTCCAGTTAGACTATAATATTCACTCATTGAAATGATGGATTACATTTCTGTTTCTGTTTTAGTATTGATTTATAATTTGTCAGTAGTCTGAGGGATCAACTATAGCGCTTAAGGGTTAAATGGAGTTTCTCATGGTTGACTGACTAACTGTTTACACGATTCATTAGGGGCGAGTTCAGATTTATTGGAAATATAAGTTATTAGATAAATAGTATGATAAGTTTAGAAATTAAATGCGTTATTGCTTTGGTTCTTCTAATTGATAGTGCGATCTTAGAAACTATTGATTGCGTAATCCCAACTACATTTTGAACTCAATAAATTTCTTGTTGTTGTAGATCTAGTTTTTGAGGTACTAAATTGTTACTTTATGAAGTATCTTATATAATAACAATATACTGCATCTATGAAATACTAATTTTCATTTTTTACTTTCTGTTATAAATCAAAAGAGTAAAGCATCAATGGATATTTTCTCTAAATTATTGATATATTACTATTCCGTTTCTTTTTACTAACATAAAATTATTTATTATTATTTAATGACTAATTATAATTTAACCATAAATGCCAAACAATTTTTCTTCTAGCTATAGATATATTTATATAATTTATGTAAATATATTGATACATATAAATGTATGTCGTCTTTTCGTTTTCTTATTCCGTTAAATACACATAGTCCTTTAATGGCTTCGAGAGGATTCATTTTGTCATTGTTTATGAGAGGTTAAAAATAATCCGCTATTAACTGAAAGGCGGCCTGTCCGATAAAAGTTGATTGGCATAAATACGATTAACGTACATAATAAGCGGTTTTAGATCAACTTAGTATCAACAGAAAGGATGAATAGGTATTTGAAATACATTTCAGACAGTCTTAAAACGAAATTCGATTCGCTTGATCGAACTACGTTCCACAACTGAAATATACTCAAATGAAAATAAACATTAAAAGAACAACGTGGAATCGTAAAATAAATAGAATCCACTAAAATTGTCAATCATTAAAAATTGTATGTGCCAGACGATATTTACAAGTAATAATAAGAAATTTAATCGACATTTTAATATTCTACAAGATAACAAGTTTTAATGATTGCAACTGAAATAATTGAAACTGTCAATTGAAACTTAATAGCTGAATTCTTTCTAATTATTCCAGAGTGATGAAGAAATTAATTAAATTTACATTTCCCAAAATTCTTACAAAATATTGTCTCAATCTATTTATAATAATTTCTTAAATTGTTTTTAATTGTCACTTTATGTAGCTCGATCTTTATTTTTCTAATTTATGCTATTTGTGTTCAATTTTGTACAGAATTTTAACACGCCGTTATTAACACACTGAAAATTGTACAAAAACTGTATTCTCTATAGTAAATTTTATTTAATGTTACTCTGTGATACGTTTATAAATTTTTATTACATTTCCTGCACCTTTCACTAACATATACGTGAGAATTATTTCTGATTTCCCTGTAAACTTGACGATCAGGTAGTAATTTTAAATACTCATTCTGTTATTTGGATTTTCAATATTGTGAATTTAGCATTGTATATAAAAGCTTTACATTTTAATTCATTGGAAAAATTAACGTATTCCTAAAAGTTAAAATCTTTATTTAAATATTGTTCGAAATATTCATGTTTTTTCAATTGCGCATATAAATGTCCAGATTATTTTCAACGATACGTCCATAATTCATATATATTTATTTAAAACTAAAATATAGGTGAACCTGGCTTTTTGTCAAAGTTTCCTTTTAATTTTTTCCTTTTTCATTCCTTTCTAAAAATCATTTCCATCAATTTTTTATTATTTTATTATTTTTCTATAGTAACCAACTTGCATAAAAAAGATACTATTACCCCTGACTGATCCCACCTTGTTTGCTGAAGATTAACAGTAAAGCTATCATATGTATTAAAATGATCTATTCCTAATTCCTTCTTTTATAATTACTGCAAAGGTAAACATATTTCCGTGAGAAATGATTAAAAGTGCTGATATAGTTATATCTAAACTGAAATATAAGCCAATTACAGCCATAACCCATCACATTCGAGAAGTGACTGGCAGTCACTATTTAATTCAACGCAGCAGAAAATTTTAAATTCAATATTAAATTTTGTTATACCGCATCAATATACAAAACATTGAAATAAAATAAATCTGCCCATTAATTCATGCAAAATTTTTCATTATGTTAGTTATAAGAAATACCATTGACATTTCATCAGAAAGTAATGAATGTTTATAATGAAAAATATTGTCGAGTGTAAAGAGTGAATAAGTGCATTCTTATAGTTTTTGTAATGAAATTTTCAATAGTCAGTTTAAGTGCTTGGTAGTGTTACTGCTAAATCGATCTTATAAAAAAAAACATCGTTTCGTTTATGGTGTGACTTAATATTTAAGGTAAATGCGATTACCATACGACACGTACGATGAACAAGAAATTATGCAAGTCATTGCATATTTATCGACCACTCGATACACGTATCGCCTGTCGATTCTCGGAGTGACACGCCTTCTATCAAACGTGTCTATCATAATATTTCCCCGCGGCGCATTACTCGAGCCTTCCGTCGAGAGGAAAAGTGAGAAACGTCGCTTTTCATCTCAACCGACGTGACATCCACGAAATTTTTCTTTTTCCGCTAGTAATACCGTTTGCGAAACCAACGAGTAAACCTAAGATGACCAGACGTCTCGACTTCTCGAGATTTATGCATATTTTAGTATTTTACCGCAATATCTCGATTTTTATCATTTGATATTAACTCTTTACGGATGAGGATTTATATATCTCAAATTCTTTTCATGAAACAGTGAATTATGTAGGAATTTTCAAATTAAGATTTTGAAATCTTTAAATTTTTTAAATTCAAGTGTGCATTGAAACCTTAACTAGTAGAAAAAGGAAATAACGCATTAATCTCTCGTTATTTGAATAATTAAATTATTCATTTGCGGTTCTCGATTTTAAGTATCAAAAAATATAGTTTATTTTGAATATTAATAATTTTGTTAAATTTATTAATTTTATTTAATTTCATTAATATTGAATATTCATCATTTCTAACTTTTACGTATTGGTTTATGCGACCGTCACAGTTGAATGCCGAAACATTTCTATTATTCCGTATCATTTTACTGTTTTAACAAGGGATATAGACATAAAAAGTCCATTATATTTGCGCAGATCACAAATGGGTTTATTGACCACATCGGTTAACGCCACGTTTCCAATTTTTTCAAATTTTATCATCGAATCGCTTGATTGATTCTTAATTTTGTATATTTCAAATAAATTTCCTTATTATTGGGTTTAGTACCATCAAATGACAAAAATTATTTTGCCCCTAGTAAAATTGCAATAATAATAAATATTGTGTCAAGGACACACTATTTTATGCAGTTTACATGTTCATTAGATTAAATTTACACCTGTAATTATGAAGTAAAACGTTTTCTATGATATTCATATAATTTTTCATTTACACTTTAACGTATTATTTACTTTTGCTATTAAGCTTGCGTAACATTTCACTTTTGACAATTTGGAGAAACGCAAAGAAATGTTCCGTTTCACTTTAAGTACAAATTCACATTGAAGATAATAAATTGGTAATAAGAACGAACGATCTATATTTAAATTATTACAACATGTGTAAAGGACACTTCTTCCTTCGTTTTTACTTAGTTCTGGTTTAACCAGCGAACAGTTGAGAACTTTTCTTTTTATTTCTTATTGTTAGAAATTCTATGTAAGAATTTGTTTTGTTCAATGCTTAATATAATTTTCAATATGAATTTGGTCTAGTACGATATGTTTTGTTATATGATGATACGTCCCGTTGTGTTAAACGTTGTTATTCGTATTTATTAGGTAAAATTCTGTTCCAAGTACTTATATCGTCACTGAAATAATCCAACACTTACAATAGCGTAGATCGAGGCGCATTGGACCACGCAATGAATCGGATTGAAACAAGAATCCAGGTATTTTTTGTATCACAAATTATATTTCTCACTTTTTGATGCTTATTTGTTAAAGGAAGATTAACATATTTTTCCCATTTTTCATCGTTAACGTTCAAGTACTTTATTTCACTGATGTCAAACAGAAAATGATCCGATTCGCCACGATCTAACTTATTAAAAAAACGTCGGAACTTTTGTATCAACCCAATAGTTTTCACAAATGAATTTCAGTTGCATCAGTTCGGTCGCCTATACAAAACGCCGTTGTCTCTGGTCAAGAATGTTTTAACGCCGTCTAAGGATCCCAGAGATCATCTGGCAGCTTATCCCAGTGATTTATCGGAACTGTTAGGTCGATGTAAAAAATTCACCGCGTGGTCTATCCGCGGTGCCGATACAACGATAGTCAAGAGAAAAGGAGATCGGAGCCCTTATTGTGATTAACGATCGCGGGATGCAGGCCCGCAAATGAAGGACCTTGACACTCGGTATATTATATAAGCGGCTGAAATGAAGAAGAATTTTTACGAGTTTATCGCGACCCCGCGAGTTTGCGACACGGCAGATGTAAAAACGATGTCGCGCTATGACGGCGAGAGTTATGGCAATTGACAAAGCCGGATAATAAATACGGCGCACCTGTGTAAATTCCTGGATATTTCGCAATACGAAAACAATGCGTAATGGCCGTTCGCGCGGTCGAACAACAATGGTAAGTTATTGCGCTGACCGTTATTGCTAACTAAATTTTGGTCGAGAGATATGACGCTTATGCGGCCGTAGCGCCGGTAAATGATTGCAAATCAGTTTCTAAATAGCTCGGATGCCTTGCCTCTTATTTTATTTGGGAAACTTTATTGTTTCGATGGACTCGGCCCATAGAGTTCGTTTTCACTTTTTTCGAATTATTTACGCGAGGTCTTAGGAAAATGGTAAATAAACGAAGAAGTAGCAGATGAAGTATTCTATGAAGTATTTTCTTTCATTGATAATAAAATTATTAACCCTTTGAGCGCCACGGGAATCTTCATGCATATTCGGGAAATGCCAGACAATTTTAAACAAAGATGCACGATTATAAAAATTTACATTTTGATTAATTTTGATCTAAAGTTCATACAATTTTTACACAATACTAAAAACATATTAGACTTCCTTTAATGTTAATAAAATTAAAAAAAATATATTCCATGATATTGCTGTCGCTATCGTATTCACTGTTTGAACCCATTTTGTGGGGTGTGAAAGAGTTCATTGCAAATATTATTTTAAAGCATTAACCTGATATGAAAATAAACTAAATATACCTGTCATCCGATATTTGAAAATATAATTCTCGTTATCAATACGTTAACACGAACGTTTCATACTAAGTTAAAAAGATAGCTAATCAGCCATTATATATTACACGCATTACGATATTTAAAATATAATGGAAGTGCTTTTATAAATCTACATATGTACATTAGATATTGGCGTTGTTTTCGTAAAACAAAATTGACTTTTTAATGAGCTATGGTATTCAAAACTTCGAGCGAAATATATCGCTCTTGGCAGTCAAAAGGTTAATAATAGAAATTACGAGACCACATAAGAAATTTGATGAAATTTTAAGAATGTAAACATACTAAAGGATGCAGTTAAATTTTTATCAAAGAGAAAGGTAAGTGTTAATTAACTGGCTGCGTTCTTCACGTCAATTTTTTTAGATTATCGATATGCAATAGTACCTGTCAAACTTTCACGAATAATTAAGTCCAATTGTGCGAATCATTAGTTCACTTGGAGTTGAATGAAGCAAAAAAACTTCTCTGTGGTTCGATAATAATATCTACTTCTACTTCTTAAGTTTCATTCGTGAAATATATAAATCAGTCGTGAAAAAATCAAAGGTAAATAAATCTTATCTTTTTACCATAAAGATTAACACACATTATAACCTATGCTATTAAATCCTAAACTGATCGCACATCTTTGGAGAAACTTCACTGAACCATGTTTTGTGTGATAACAAATATTTCTTCCTTACGACAGCGCGATGCAATCAAGCAAAAGAAGACGATCCCGTAAAGGCGAAGCGATTAAAGCGAGTAATTAAACGCGTCGTTCGAAATAGAATTTCCTAAACGCGCCGTACAGAAACTCTGAATGTGGAGCAATGATTACGGCCCTTTAAACGGTCCACTCCGATTTCAATGGAAGAAGCGGGACAGCTACAACAATGTACCGCGTGAACACCTACTTATAACAAAAGTATGGTCTTACATTGTACACCTATTATCCACTTACGTCTCTGGGACAATACGCTGAAATTGCAGACCCTGGATGACATGACCACGCTTCACAAGCAGTTTGGATGTACGCGGCATCTCTTGTCACCGAAATTGTGACTTAGCCCAGCATAACAGCTTGCTTTATGCGATCCCCGTGTTTTAACCCCTTGTACTATTATTTCTTTTGCAACTGTGCTTGATGAAATTGTTTTATCGTTAATATTTTGTTGGAAAAAGAAAGGAATTTCATACTTATCTTACGTCTACGTTTACTCTAATGGTTAACCATCGATAATAAAAATGTAATATTTAATCTCTATTTTTAAAAAATCAAGTAACACTTAGATTTATCGGATTTAGTTTAAAATTTTCATTACACGTCTGACTCGATATTATAAGGCAAAGAGTTAAGCAATTGAACAGTTCTAATAGAAAATAGTGTAACTGCCACAACTGAGAAATTTTCTTTTTCTATTCTTATCTTGTAATATACGATTTCCGTGCAATCGCGTTATTAATGGATTCACTGTTGCTTTACGTTTGATGATTTGTATCGCTCCTATTTTTAGAAGGAGATTAATGAAAAATATTTGGAGGAAATATCTGTCGAAAGTACTTGACACTAAATGCATTAAGAGGTGGCAAATAATCAAGTCAGATTTAACCCTTCGCACTCGAAAGTTTTTTAGTAAAAATATTCAACATTTTCCAATGACAGACACAACATCTTTTTAAAGTAACTAATGAGAAAACGTACATAAATTAAGGAACAGAACTATTTTATTTCAATGTTGCACGTATTGATGCATTATACAAAGCTTAATATTATATATAAATCTTTATAATTTTGTCATATCAAATTAAGTGCTGACTGAAAGTCACCTCTCGAGTAAAAAGAGTTAATTGTGACCATTGATAGGTTCGAGGACGTTGCGTTGAAACGAATACCTTTTTACGGTGCAGCAATATTAAATAGTTTTCAGGTGTTTCAATTTTCCTTTTGCACATAGTTGTGAATAATAGTAATCAACCATAATACTGATAATATTAAAAACTGACATCATTACGATATAAAGTTCAACGTAATCTTAGAAAACTTTCTTTGTTCTACTGATAAAATGATGTTGGCACTTACAACCTTTTGCGTAGGCACTTTTCAATTGTGCTCGTGATAAGAAAGCTTAATCCTCTCGTTTATCAAATTTTTCTAAATCAACGAAGCGAATTCTGGTTTCTATTCTATACAGAAATAATTAACAATTTGTTTTAAGCGTAATTTAAGACAGGTTGCAGTGGCGGACGTGTCAGAAAAAATAGTCTTGATCCGAAAATAATCGTGATTTCATCACAGCGAACTATTCCGGGTCACATTTCGCGAACGAACTGCAGGAGAAATACCGGAGGCCTTATTTTTATGCAATCGAGCGATGAAGAGAACTGTTTCACGCTCGCCTGTTGTTTGGTTTACTCGTTAGACGGTGTTTGCGGAACATGTGATGAACGCGGAACCTTCGCGCAAAGGCCGAGCTTAATTACGACTAAAGGAATCGATGTTTTCACGAATATTCGACTAGAATTGTAATTAGACCGAGGATATGCAAAACTATATTTTTGTGGTTAACACTAGAACTACCGTGCCCGGTTTCACATTCCTTATTTTATAATTATTGATATTTTAAAAGTATTAATTCTTTACGGACGAGTATTATTTAAACATTTAGAAACTCTTCCTATGAAGAACAGAAAATGTAAGTTTTAAATACTAGAAAAGAGGAAAACCACATATCAATCTTTCATTATTTGAATAATGAAATGATTTATTTGCAGCTTCCGATTTCGGATATGAAAATTTAAAGTCGACATTACAGCGGCACTCGACCGTAAAGGGTTAAAAATATACGAAATGGTTTTGAAAATAAATATTTTTACTTGAATACTATAACGAATATCTGAAGAAATCAAACAAAATGTATTGTTACGATCTTTATAAGGATTACATATCAATCGTATTAAATACTCGGTAGTTCTAGTGTTAATACATTGACTGCTTCGTTGGTTAAAAATGATCGGAGCTTCGAAATTGTTTAAAGACAATTATAACAGAAAAATTGATATTGAATAAAAACATTTAGTAATAGGAATATTTAGAAAATAGTGTAACCTTTGAACTGCAGTATCCAAAAATTAATAATTAGTTTTAATATTATTTATATTTGCTATGAAAAAATAAATTCGGAATTCTAAATAAGATTTCAAAGTAAGGTAGACTTTGTTACCTTCTATTCATAGTTTCAATGAATTGTTATTCTATTCTTCTTGAAATATCAGAAAGATTCTGAATGCATAAAGACCTACTTAGCAAAGATCGGTCTAGCTACAATTATTCTATTAGTACACGTGTAAAACCATTGTATTCAGTTTCCACGCTATGATGTAACGAGAAGAGTTATAGTAATCGTTTATTCAACGATTCTTCATTGAGAAATGAATTTGAGTTAAGCAATTCCTGTATATCAGCTGCTGTTGAATATTTTTAACATGAGAAGAATTTTAAAACGAAGTTAATCTTTAAAAAAACATTGATACACAAAGATGGATAATTTAAGAAAATAGAAAGATTAAGAAAGAGATTAAGAAAAGAAATGTTTAGTTAAGTAAATAAAATATTGATTATAATTTCATTTGCAGGTTCATAACAGAACTACACTAAAAGTAAACAGTTTGATCGAATTATAATTCTTGTGAAGATAGTCAAGAAATACTCCAGTCACGTATCAGATGTCATATTTACCAAATGAAAATGATAGACAAGATAAATCGCGCGCTATATTGCTGAGGCAACGCTATCTATTTTATCAATAAAGTTAATCCAATAACGAGCATAATTGGTTAAGTCAGACATTACATAGAAATCGAGTCTGGTAGACTTTTTGTAAATAACCACAAGTTTGAAAGCTCCCAATGCAAATCTAAAAACAAACTAAATTCAAAATAATTAATAATAACTCTCTTCAGTAATGAAATTCATCAATAAAACAATACAAATTATTTTCCAATATTAGTGACTGCAATTTTCATCAATGTAAACCTATTCCTACGTCAAGCTTCATGCAACAACATGATATCAATTACAGTCGTAACTTCCACTCGGCAGAAATCTCCACGATCTACATTCCCCAGGTTTCATTCGCGCATCCTCTAAAAAGTCACTGTAGCCACCGAAACAAAACAAGTTAATTCCGTTGCATCTGTTGCTCTTATCCGCGCCGTTCAGTTACATGCGAGTAGCAAACAATAACAATCAATCATCCTCAACTACCATCGCCAATTACCCATTATCACCGAACAACATCTCAATTATAGACCACCCAACGGTCGAGATAACGCCTATCTTATCCCCATCATCGACCTGCTCTCAACCCCATAATCTCTGTGCTACAGTCGCCAAAGTGAATTCGTAAATTAAACTTCTAAAGTAGAACCTAAGCTCTTTAGAAGTGGCACCAATTGATGTCGCATTAACTAGGACCGTATCAAAGGTGTCAATCACAGTTTCGAGTCCTAAGTTGGGCTTATCATAGTTTTATCAATTCGTTTGTCCTGTCACTTGAAACATGTTTACTCTACTCGACCGACTTTACGAAATCGCTGTACTTCTCAATAATTACAGTGGCACCTCGATTATCCGATTGAATCGGGCGACTAACAGCCAAGATAAATGGAGACTCGAGACTAAATTTTTCAAATCTCTCAAACACATTTACAAAGCCGATTGTATGCATTCCGAGGTACAATCCGAGAATCCGAATCATCCAGTCTCAAGGTAACCAAGGTTTAACTCAATCTAGACAACAGAAAATAGCGACTCGGTTAATCGAGATCCTACTGTACACCAAATCTACCCTGAAACCTATAACACATGAAAAAGAAAGCAACTGGCGGCAAGTGTCCCGCGGAAAGAAGACGTGAACATGATTCATAGTCCGCTCCTTCGCGGAGACTCGCGCGTTAGGTAATGTGGCTCACTTACGGCGGCGGATGTACCATGTTAAGCAGCTCCGACGGCGACGTAGGAACTCTACGTATCGTGAGCTTCCGGCCGTCGGAAGAGCCCATGCCGATCGACGCTAGGGAACGTATAGACATGGAATCGGGAAACGGCCGCACGTGGGTCTGCCCGTTTCCGTCGGCGAATACAATGGAAGCCCAGCTGGCGGCCGGAGGATGGTGATATTGATGCTGATCCCCGTGTTCGTCCATGGTTGGGTTCGATTTCACGGACCTCACGCTCGAGCAGCGATGCCGTCCACCGTGTGAATCGAATCCCCGACTGAGCTTCAGGACACTTTGAGGTATGTCCCTGTACTGTCTCTCGGTGAAACCCACTTGCTCCCCGGACCTGTGCTGCTGGGGCCGAAGAGACTTTTCGTGGATGCTGCCGCCGCTGTCGTTTCTCGGTATGCCACGCTTCACACCATTGCAATGGAGGTTCGCCGAGATGGCAGGGGTGACGGTGATCTTGCGGGCCGAGTCGGTGGCGCTCAGCAAACGACCCCTTTCCTCGGACGGTGTGTCCGAGTCGGCGTCGTGTTGATGCTGATGCTGATAGCGACGGTGTCCTGTCCCGGCCGCGTCAGGATCCACGTCGTCCGATACGTCCTCCTCCTCCGGCATCGTGCTCATCTTGCGCACGCAGCTACTCTGCTTGCCGATCACGCTCTGGAGACGGCCGGCGTTGCCGTGCGTGCCCGTGGTAGTCTTGCTGGCCGCGGCACTCGCGTTGCTGCTGTCGTTGCCGTTAACGCCACCGTTGCTGCCCGTGGCATTCATGATGGCATGACGATCTAGCGACAGAGAAGGACACCACCGAGTGAACCAGGCTGTTGAGAGAAGGGACGGAAGGACAAAGAGAGACAGAGCGTGGCGGTGTGGGAAGGGGGTGGGGGGCAAAAAGAAAGAGAGGAATTTACGCAGAATACTTGAGCGGACTTCCGGCAATTTCGTCGGTTGGAGAAGCGCGAAAACATTTGCCGCGTTTCAGACTCCTATCGAGTCCCCGGGTTTATTGCAGAATATTTGCTTCGGGGAGTTTACTTTGCTCGTTTTTTTCTGATTTGTCACTATTGCTTCTGATAACCGCGTCGTTTATCACAAGAATATAAAATTTCTGGAGCATTTCATTTTATTTTCACGGGCGAACATTCGAAGCGCCAGCCTATGTCGAGAGCGGTCACTTATCTCGGTGACAGATCGTCACTGGCAAACCATATTACCATAAAATGTATTTACTCTTATCAGACACGACAGCGCTGATACCAGGCTGCAAACGCGCGAGCACGCGAACGCGACGCTTGTAGCTGAACACCGCGTCGAGATAAAGCTCCGAGCGACGGGATTCGTAATATCGGCGCACAGCGGTCAGCGACGCGCGTTGACCTATAAAAACCGAGGATCGCGCCGATCCGCGAAATTCGACGGCTGTGAACGAAAGTCGTCGGCCGATGATGAATCACGCTGAGGTGAGACGAACGAGTATTTTCTCTTTTCGGGATCTAGTGACGATGAACTCGCGTGACGAACGACGATAGGTGTCTTCGGATCGTTTAACACAAAACGACCTATGCACTTCTATAACCGAACGGTAAGACACACCTGTGTTGGTACATTGTTTCTTCGAAAATTGTTAAAATAAAGCAACAATTCTGTTTCGGGAAGCCTTGATAAGATGGTTTTAGAGGTAAGACAGAAAATGCACATATACATTGATACTCTTTTATAAAATTCTTCAAATAAATAAAAAATGTAATTTGATAAAGCTGTAAATAATTTATCTTATTTACTTTAGACATTATTCGCCTTATAATTCTGTATCTTACAAGTTATCTTATAATGATTTATTGATTGACGAATTATGTACCAATAATTAAATCTCTCAAAATAACTGAAGAGATAAGTCAAGGAAGATAAAGATCACAAAGTAATTGAAAAATCAGTTCACCGAATACTTCTAGGTTGTCAAGTGTTAATGAGACGCAAGAATCCACTTGTTGATTATCGGGGGAACGGTAACGAGCGATTTCTCACGTCACAGTTCCACAGGAGCATCGTAAACTATGTGGTACCATTCGAAAGATCGAGATCACGTGTCGCGCAGCGAAGTACCTGTCAGATCGGTGAGGGCCTCGACCGGATTGATCGCATTCCAATGAAGTCACCGAGAGCCATCGATGCACGTATTGCAGCGGTGATAACAGGTGCACACGATCCACGTGGAACCACGAGTGGTCCTCTTCAAAGAAAGTCCTCCTTCAACGAATTTATGTTCCTCTCTGGTCGCAGTTTAGAATGCTCGCGAAAATCAGCACGGGACGGCACGGCACGATCGTCGTCGCGGCTGCACGCGTTGCGGATACGTCAACGTCGCGTCGCGGCGACGTTGTGTACGGGCCGATCTCTCACGTCACCAGCTGTGTGACACACACGCACCGCCTATCGGGTTTTCAATTGAATTCAGTGCCTTCTTGTGGGCACTGCGGGTACTAGTGATACGGGGATCCGGATCCGTTGGGACTTGGTTTACCTGACGTCGGAGAGAGGCTCGGCGCTGACTCGTGAGGCCGAATATCCCTACCATCACCGGCAACACGTGGTTTCCTTACGATTTTCAATTGTAAACGGATCGACGGACGATGTTTTAAGTCGTTCGCATCGTTAGGGTGTGTACACGATCAGCAACGAAAGTATTCGAACGTTGCGCGTTAGAGAGAGATAGTATTGGGTTGATGCAAAGACTTTGGCAGTCGTTGAAGCAAGTAGAAATATCAATGGATTTATTTTTATTTTTGACAGCGTAATATTTTTACAATGATGGGATGGATAAGCTTATAGGAAGATGGGAGAGGATAATAACAACTAATGGAAGTTATGTAACAGATTGAGCCAATAAACATATTTGAAAATCTCGTCTTTTTATTTGTTATAAAGAGACTTTGAAACTTTTGCGTCAGCATAATAAATAAGTAAAGAAGCTGTGATGTGTAATAAATGGAGTATTTTGTGTCTGAAAAAATCTGAGATTTGTTTTTTCGTTAGTAATTAATTGGGACGAAATTATACTGTCTAGTGTTTAGAAAAAAGTGAAATGTTTACATAGGAAATGTTATACAATTTATCTAACTTTAACTAATTAGTTTATTATTGCAAACTATGTCATTGTGATTTTATATTATGATCTCTGTATTTATTTTTATAGTTTAATCATTGCATTATAATAAAAATAAGTTTAGCGATAATGTTTTTCATTCTATCATACGCTGCAGATGAACAATATACAACAACTTAACAGGTTGACTAATACATTAGAAAAACAACAGAAGTCTAATAACATCGAAGTAACATTTGGTAAAATATCAAACGAAATGTTACCATCCAACAGACCCATTACTTTCTCAATTTTGTCGCATCTTAAAAATGTTAATGAAGTTTGTCCCATTCAGTGAATCATCCTGAAAATTAATTTCTGTGTCTGGTAAAAAAGTGATCACCCCAATTTGACCGACTCGGCGGTTAATGTGTTAATACGTGGGTTCAATGCGTGTCTGCCGAGGTGATCTATGGATCCGGCGGGTGCAATCGAGCGAGAAGAAAGTCCGTGAAAGCGACCGATAGCGGATAAAGTGGCGCTTGACGGGGGATATATGGTAATGCTACGACAGAAGAAATTTAGGCGCGAGTTGCGCGAGGACGTAGCAACGAGGAAATGCTAATAGGACAAGAGATGAAAGTTTTGTCCATCTGATAATTCGAACGATTGAAATTTGCTTTTAGGAATTCTTTGTAAACAAACAATTAAAATCTCCAATTGATAGGTCCAAACTGTTATGCGATAATGTAATTCATCAAATGAGTGGCATTTTGATTTATGGACTGTAGAAACTGTACTTCTGAATAAATCCATCTGAAAACATTCATGAAACTTAATCATAGTATAATGAAAGCGTATGCAAAGTTTTAACTGATAAACATTCATACATTTCTTTTTCGAGAAATGCTAAAGGATGTATGTTTTTCATTAAATGAAATGAGGTTCTCTCCTGGAACTTCTTTATAGCTGTTATTGTGTTTGGTTATTTCATCTTTAATTTTGGGTGTTTTTAAGTATTTGTGAATGGATTTCTCTGTTATATACCAAGGTGCATTGCAGATGAGCCACAATGTTTTGGATTGTAATCGTTAATTTGGATCGAAGAAATTTGAACAATTAGAAACTAGAATAATAAAAGCCGGATAATTAATAATTTGAATAATGAAATTCAGATAATTAAAAATTCGAATAATAAAATTTAAATAATGAAATTTGGATGAATAGAAGAACTTCGGACAATCAAAAGAGAAAAAAAAGGAATTAGCAATGGGGAGAAACACGCATATTCCCTACCAACAATTTAATAAATGATTCATGAACTCACATAACACTATGTTTACAATTATTTTATCTTCCACAAACTCGTATCGTATCCCTCATAATTCATAGGTTGATGGAGTATTACAATTTTATACCTATGAAACTATTTGTTCTTTAATATTGATACTGTTCCAATTATCCGAATAAATAGAATTTTTCTTCTTGCTTGTTATCAATTAAAATTATTTCAGTTTGTTAAGCTTGTTCGATTTGTATCGGTTTACCGAAGCGGCCGAATATTTAGTTCAATTTGAAAGTTACCGTCGAGTTTTACATACAAATACATATTAATAACTGTACAATAGAATCACCGCCTGAAGGAAGATAACCCATTCTACTGTAAAGTTGCGTGTGCAGCAATGCGGTCGGTTGATTTCAACGGAGGATTTTATTCAGAAAAGTATGAATCAGGAAAATAGTATAAATTGTTAGCAACAAAATGCGTATACAACGTAATAAATAATCACGCATACAAATCAACTGTTACGCAGTTATAGAAATATTTCGCAA